ATTTCTTTAAGTTTATTCATAGATGCATTATATATTTTGGCTGCCACACATTCACTTTTCAAATATTTAATAACCTACTTGGTAGCAGGCCCCCTATTGGTAGCAGGTATTGGTGATTCTATGGGCAACAAAAATAGATTTGGTAACTGCTCTTATAGCTTTTACAGTTGAGTAGAGGATGCATGTACTAACAAATATCACATAATGTAAAACACAACTGTGATATAAGCTGTAAAGGAGAAGTAAATAGTACTATAAGATTATATAAGGAGGAAATTTGACCTGGGAAGGTCAACACAGATTTTTCTGATGAAAGGACAATTGACCTCTGACGGATCAGGCTTCAAAGAAGAGAGAAAACTATATTCCAGGCAGAGGGAAGAGTTATGTGCAAAGGTGAGGTAGGAAAGCAGTACAAGTTTCTGGGGAAAAAAAAAATGAGAGCACATAGAATGAGAAGGAGTGTGCTACTGGTTGAACTTGGTAAGGATAGACTAACCTTATAGGGTCTGGGTGTGGGTCTTTAATCTAGGAATGATAAGGAGCCATTGGGGGATTTTAGGCAGGGATCACTTGATAAGATTTGCTTTTCAAATATTTCACATTGCGAGTGGGTGAAAAATCATCAGAGGTGGCATGAGTAGATGTGGCAAGACACAAATGAGGCTGTGGCCTTGTATGTGCATAAATATGTTCATGTATATGTGTTGAATTTCTCGAATTAATTAGAATGCCACCTTATTCTTTCCTACAACAAGCCCTTCAAATCTGCTCTTTTGACTTGTTTTTTTCCATTGTTAGCTTAATCACAAACATGTCTATAGTTTATCAGGTCATTTTTTACATAATAGAAATTCAGCGCTGTATAATAATTGCATAGCTTCAATTTGTTGTCTAATCAAAAACATGTTGATATAGTTTGGGTATCTATTTGTCCCTGCCCAAATCTGATGTTGAAATGTGATCCCCAGTGTTGGAGGTAGGGCCTGGTGAGAAGTGTTTGGATCATGGGAGTGGATTCCTCATGAATAGCTTGGGCCATCCCCTTGACGATGAGTGAACTCTTGCTTTGAGTTCACATGAGATCTGATCATTTACAAGTGTGTGCCCCACCCCTACTCACTGTCTTGCTCCTGCTCTGCTTTGTGAAGCACTGGCTCTCCCTTTGGCTTCCACCATGAGTAAAAGCTCCCTGAGGCCTCCCCAGAAGCTGAGCAAGTTCTGTCACAGTGCTTCCTGTACAGCTTACAGAACTATGAACCAATTAAACCTCTTTTCTGTATAAATTACCCCAGCCTCGGGTACTTCTTTATAGCAATACAAGAATGGCCTAATACACATGTCTCCTTCCCCAGTGGTTTGGAAACCTGTAGTGGAAATAGGCACTTTGGCCAACTCCTTTTCCCACGTCTGGCTCCACCAACTTACCTATTTGTAAGCTATTGTTTTAGACATCTCCAAGGCTGGGCACAGGCTAGGAGTTTGGGGGAAAGTAGGAAGAGAGAGGACAGCTAAAGGACAGAAAGGTCTTACCTGGCTGGTGCAGCTGTAACCCAGAATAGATGCCCTCTGCCCTCTGCATATAGTAGACTCCTTATGAACATGCGCTCTTTTTTGGAGTGTTCCGATGAGGTCCTTAGGGTTCTCTCCTCTGTAATTCTCCTTGACTATTCCTAGGATCTCTCACGTACGCAATGCTCCTCTGACTGGCTGCTAATGACTAGCACCATGAATTCCAAGAGTTTGTCTCTCCGTTAGGAGTCACATTGGTCATAGTTCCTCTCAAAATGATAGAATCCAGCTTCATTCTTTGGACCCAATATTTGGCCCATAGGAAATTTACACATTCTTTCCCTTGCCCAATTGAGGAAGTCAAGCTTTTCTAACCAACTTCGTCGCTTGGCTTTGTTATCTTGGAGCTCCTGGCCAGTCATAGCCTCTTGCCTTTAAACTTTTCAGGGATCAATCAGATACCAGTCCTGTCTCTCTCTAACCAGGGGACCCATGTCAAGCTTTTCAAATGGTACTCTTAAAACCCTACTTCTTGACTCGAAGACTCTCTCTTTTTCTTCCATGGGTGAAATACATGGCCTATCAGCCATTCTTTAAAAAGAAAAGAAAAGAAAAGAAAAAAGAAAAGAAAAGAAAAAACTGCAACATGGACCTCTTCAATTACAATGAATTCTTTGTCTTCTCTTTTATATCCTAGAGGGGAGTGATGGGCCAATTCTGGCAGAGGGTTTCACAATTTCTTAGCCTGTCCTGCATAGACAGTCTAGTGCCACCCAAGAGGTGCAGGATGTGGAGATATTAAACAACTATTGTATTTGTTCTCAGATTTGGGGGACTTAGCTGAAACTCTGAGTCAACAGGAAAGTCCTATCTTAACATAGTATTATATATGTCATGAGTTCCTACTGGTAGCTCTTCAGTACATTATAATTTAAGTTATGTACCTTGACAAAACAAATTTGGAAAACACTATTGTTTTGCTTTTAAATATGATGTAAGCTACTGGATTGAGATAATTTTTAAAATCATTTTGAGGTACTATTCTATATGTAATTTGTTTAACTTTTATCAGAAATGGATGTTGAATTTTGTTAAATGTCTTTTAACATTTATTAAGGTGAACATAAAGTTTGTCTCTTTTGGCCTATTGATGGAATCAATGACATTTCTAGATTTTCTAGTATCGAGTCATTCATGGTTTTCTAGAGCATTAATCCTTTAACATAATGCTAGATTAGATTTGCTAGTGTTTTTTAAAAAATGTTTTGTATCCATAGTCATAAGCAGGCTTGGCCAAAAATGTTTTGTGCCATCTTTGTCAGCTTTCAATATATGCTAGCTTTTTAAAGAAAATGTAAGGAATTCCATATTTTACTTAAATTATAGCCCCCTTTACAATTTTTTAGTTGAAGTCATATATGTATAGAAAAGTATATATATCAACTAATTTTCACAAAGTAAACACAGCTGAGTAACAAGTATCTCCAACACTCCCTCTTTTGCTACATATCCCCCAAAAGAGTAACCACTACTCTTATTTTCAACAGCATAGGCTAATTTTATCTGTTTTTATATTTTATCTAAAGGGACTCATACATATGTATTTTTCTGTGGTTTTCTTTAACTCAATATTATGTTCGTGAGATTCAGTCATATTATTGTGTGTGACTGTATATAACTTATTCTCTTCGAAATATAATATTCTATTGTGTGAATATACAAAAAATTACTTCTTAATTCTGCTACTGATGGGCATTTGGTTTGTTTTCAGCTTGAGGCTATTACAAATGCTGTTTTTATGAACATTCTGGTACATGTTGTTTCTTTAAAGACATGCACATCTCTCTGTTGGGTATATACTTAGGAGTAGAATTGCTCTTAACCAATGCATATTGGTTGGTTGTCATTTTCTGATTGTTTTGTGGAAGTCTTGTACATATTTAGGATGCAAAGTAAAATGATGAAAAAAGATATATCATAATATATCATAATGAATAACCATAAGAAGCTAGAGTGGTTATGCTGATATTGGACAAGACAGGCTTTAAAACAAAAATTGTTACTAGGGACAAATAAGAACATTTTACAACAATAAAAGGGTCAATTCATCAATTCATCAGGAAGATGTGATAATTTTAAACATACGTGCCCCTAACAACAGAGCCCCCAGATATACAAAGCAAATATTGACAGAATGGGCAGAAGGAAAAGTAGATAATTCACAAGTAATAATTGGAGACTTATATACTCCCCTTTCAGTAATAGATAGAAAAACTGGAAAGAAGATCAACAAAGAATAGACGACTTTAATATAGTAGTGAACCTTCATGACTTGAAGTTAGGCAAAACCTTATTTAAGACACTAAAACCACAAGTGGCAAAAAAAGGCAAATTAGGTTTCATAAAACTTTAAAACTTTGTTTCAAAGAAGACCATCAAGAAAGTGAAAAGATAACCCACACAATGGGAGAAAATATTTGCAAATCATATATCTGATAAAGGGCTTGTATTAAGAATATGTAAAGAACACCTACAACTCAATAATAAAAAGAAAAAATAACCCAGTTGAAAAATAGGCAATGAGTCTGAGTAGACATCTCTGCAAAGGTGATATACAAATGGCCATTAAATATGTGAAAAGATACTCAACATTCTTAGTCATAAGAGAAATGCAAATCAAAACCACAATGAAATAACACTTCATATCCACAGAAATGGCTATAATTAAATAAAAATATAAATAATAGCAAATGTTGTCAAGAATGTAGAGAAATTAGAGCCCTTGTATATGGCTAATGATAATGAAAATAGTGTAGCCACTTTGGAAAACAGTCTGGCAGTTCCTCAAAATGTTAAACATATAATTACCATGTAACCCAGCAATTCTACTCCTAAATACACATGCAAGAAAAATGAAAACATACATGTACACAAAAACTTAACTTTTATGTACATTATTCATAATAGCCGTAATAGCACACAACCAAAATGGCCATCAACTGATGAATGGAAAATTTGTTGTATATCCATGCAATGAAATGTTATTCAGCAATAACATGGAATGAAATACCGATACATGCTGCATCATCAATGAACAAAACATTATGTCCAGTGAAAGAAGCCAGTCACAAGTGACCACATATTGTATAATCTCATTTATAGGCAATGTCCAGATTATGCAAATCCATAAGACAGAAAGTAGATTCATGGTTGCCTGGGTTTGGGAAGTTTGAGGAGGGAAAGATGGAGAATGATTGCTAATTGGTACAAGATTTTTCTTATGGGTAATGAAATATTCTAAACTTGATTTTGATAATGGTTGTACAACTCTGAATATACTAAACACCACTGAATTGTACACTTTAAATGTGAATTGTATGATATGTGAATTATAACCCATTAAAGCTGCTAAAAAAGAATAATTTTGATCTTAAGCCATTCATGCTTATATTCTTTAAAGGATTATTCTTCTTTTATATTCCCCATAGTGCTCAGAATACACTGCTAAGTGGTCAATAAATGGTACTCAATTGAAACTGGACTGACTGATTCAACAGGGTGCTTTTAGATTTCTCCTGTACACATAGAATTAGACCATCCCATGGGCTTGCTATGATGAAGAACAGAACCCTTCCCTGGGATAGATGAAAAGGAGAATCACCCCAAACAGCAAGACAACCAAGCTACAAGCCGGCACGCTCCTATCTGCATGACTGATAAAGACCATCTGATGCTGCCAGTTACTCAGCAAGGCCATTCTCTCCACAAAGTCACAATATTTATTTTAACACCAGTGACTATTGAGTGTGTGTGTATATCTATGTAGTGATAAAACACTGCTGTAATATGTACACAGGATCTGAACAAGATCAATTCATCAGGACAATCATGCAGTCTACAGATGAGAGAGGTTGTTTATGCAGTGGGTTGATAGAATACCGTGATACAAGTCACAGAGAAGCACTGTCTAACGTTCATAATGCATACTATACATTTCACAATATGGGCATTTTGTAAATAATTAATAGCATGGACCAGAGATAGCATTGATAGGAAGGAGAGAGACAGCATGCAGGAAAGTCTGCTCAAATACTCTAATGAGTGGGATAGAAATGTTTCAGCAAGCACGTCACACATTTTAGAGATTTTTTTTTTATCAAGCACTGTCTTGTGGGATGGTTGATTTTTCTTCTCAATGACTGCCTGTTCTACAGATACAATTTTGAAGTGTTTTATTTGTAAGTTAAAAAAAAACTGTTTCCACTGTCTATGTGTATGAAAGTCAACATGGAAAGAAATTGTCCCATGAAATAGGACAATAAAATGCAACTGTTTGAGCTGCTTAGATGCCAGTGTTTTTCTCAGAAATGTTCTATTCAGGAATACAGTAAGCTTAATTGGCAAGATATTGACTAGTGTATATGTAATTTATCTTTCAACCATTACTCAGTGTTTCCCCAAGTACCCTGTTGTCTACCTAGAGAAGAGCACTGTACTGATGAGCTCAAGCTCAGGTCCCCAAGGATGTCTCCTTTTCCTAATACATATGTATTAATTCCCATTAACTTCATTTAGAGTAAGGAGTAATGTGGGCATGAAGAGGAGGCCAGACAGCCAGATGGCCGTGAGTGTCTGTTACGGTATATGAGTAACTCTTCCCATTATTCAGCCTTTATTTACCCAATGAATTCACATGGTGAGTAACTCATTTTTGAGGACTGGTGCGCTTTCCTCCAGGATGACTGACAAAGACATGAACTCCCTCATACCCTTTCCTAGAGCTAGAAGTTACAAAAGCTGTGAAAGACACTGAAAAAAGGTAAGTCTCCAAGCGAAGGCAGCCATTTACAGAGGGCAAGTTCACCAGAGGAGCATTTGTGAAAGTGGTCACCAGCGATAGCCCAGTGAGCTTCCCTCCCCAAACGGAGAGGCCAATGAATCCTGGCTGCTCCCTGTCCATCAACACCCCACCTCACCCCACCCACTTAAACCTTGGTGGAAATGGGAAGAAAACCAAACAGCTATTTATACATTTCTTTTTGAAGTCCTAAAACTCAGTGGTGGCATCAATTGACTTCTCTCTTCAACTCTCAACCCTTAAAGAATAAAAAAGAGGAATCAGCTGATGGCCATCTCTGAGGCTGACCCAGAGGGTTAAGGAGACTGCTGGCCTCACTCCTCTGTCTTTAGGTGTTCAGGGAACACAGCTCTAGGGCTCCAGGATGTGCAGTGATTATTCAGGTCCTCTGATTAGAGACGGTTGGAGTCACTTCAGTAAAATCATCGTGTCAGGCTTCTAGAAGAAGTATTATTGCAGTCCTTTGAACAAGAAAAAACCTTCTAGTTTTAATTTAAACAATAAAGCGAAGAGCTTTAAGGTATATCTCAAAGTGGTGTTAAGAAGCCAAGAAGTGGTAAAAAGTGCTGGTGGTGTTAAGAAACCAAGAAGAAGATGGTGGCCAACTGGGTCAAATGGTGCTATGAGCACAAGGCAGATGTGAGTGGAAAAGTATGTTTTGTGATCCTGTTGGTAGGAATGATTTCTCTCCCAGAAGGGTAGCCTGGTGGATCCATCTTAGGCTGGGGGTTTCCAGGCGAGTGCAATGGAGGGAGAGAAGGAAGAGAGCTTTGAGGGTGTTTATAAAGATGGAGCCAACCAAACTAAGCCATAAAAGGAAGGATGAGAGAACATGGGGCCTGATGGGTAGAAGAAAGGGAGTTAGTGAAGTGGCCATCTGTGGGTTCATTTAAACCTCACAATAACCCCACAGTGTAACCGGGGGTTAAAGAGATTAACTTGCCCAAGGTCACAGAGCTAATAAAAGCAGATTGCAGATTTCAACCTCCTTTGTCTGACACAAAATCTAGTGCTTAAGTCACCACTACACATATCCACAGACACTGTAACTTCCCTTCCGCCTCTGGGTAATGTGCCAATTCCAGTCTACTGTAACTGAAACCAGCAGGGGAGAGTTCCAAGTGTGGACCAGGCTGAACGGATCCAACTACAAGACAATCTCCTTTTGAGGTGTCCCAATCCCACGGTGAGGTATGATCCTCTCACCCAGAATATGTCTACAGAGCATCAAGTAACAGGATGGCTGAGAAGGTCCACATTTTATATGAAGCTTTTCTGTTTTAAAAATCTTTCAGCACTGTGTGCGTACAATCATTTTTAATTACAGTTTTTAACTCCTAAAAACTAATGCATATATATGCTTTGGGATTATAGCCATCTGTTCTAAGTCTCACAATAGATTCCAGACATAAAAAACAAAACATAAAAAAAAAATTTGTAGAAGTCAAGCCAGAGTTTGTATTTGCATAAAAAGTCTCTTACTTGCTTGATAAATGATAGTGACTTAGGGAATTATTCAACACCGTAATCCAGGTGTGTTTTTTCCAGTTAATAATAGTATAGCAGCTCAGATAGTTTACCAATCTAAGATCATTTTAACAGTGATGTGTTACTTTTCTCTTGCTTTGGATATTTAAAGCAAGATTTGCAACGTTGTTTGTTCGTTTGTTCTTGCAGTTCCATACTTTTTCGTCTTTGGGATGCCCCTCACGGGCAGAGTGTTGCAGGAGACCTCTGTTTCTCTTGTTATGTAATTGTAAATGCATAAGCTTGTAGCTTCTCAGACTTAGAACCACATTGGAAATCTGGTTGGCATTCCACGGGGTACAGGAAGCCTCCAGGAAGGGTCCCCGACAGCAGTCACCAGATCCTTCTCAACCACTTCTGACAACAAACTGTGGAGGCATAGCCCATCTTTTAACTGCTCTGATTACAGCTCCCAGGGAGGAGACAAACCTTTAAGAGGTCTTCCTAAACCTAAGTGTCCCCCTTACAGGTCACTTCAGGGTACAACTGAACCCAAATTATTTACTAAAGATGTAACACGTTTTCTCTACTCCCAACTGCTCTCTGAGAAATGTCTTGACTTGCAGCTGCTACCAGAAAGAAGAAGCGAGAATGCCGGTGGCGACTTCTCATGGACTCTATCAGAGCGTGGATAGATTGTGTGCCCTGGGGGCTGATGTGGACAGGAACACCAGGTTCTCCCTCGTTTGTTCTTTATCTGTACTTACTGCACGTTTTTCTGCCATGGACTTTTTATTATTCTAAATTGTGAATGAGATAATAGTTGGTTTCTCAAAGTGCAAAGGCTAAACCTACTGATAAACTTCAGCCGCTACCAAAGGATAAACGCCACCCAAACTGCCAAAACAATCATGACCTCACTTCCTGCATGGAGTCCTGAATGCTTCACCAGAAACTCAGAGAACCCAGCAGGCAAAGCTCTGGCACGGGTCACAGGCAGAGATCAATGAGTCATCCAAGCCGTTCCTTGGCCAATTCTTTTAAGGAAGGAAGATATGGAGCAAGTTCTTTTGCTCCATCGCCCATATCACTACTGGGGTCTCAGGAGACTTTGCTATCATCAAGCCTTTCAAAGAGATGAGCTTGATTTCCACTGTTCCTAACAGTAAAATTTACTTGTGGGATTTTCTAAAAGTCTGGGCCAAACATCAAACAACTTAGACATTCCTATCCTCCCCCAACGAATGGATTTTCAGGTCTGGTGTAAAAAACCTCCATGTGGGGCTGGGCATGGTGGCCCATGCCTGTAATCCTAGCACTTTGAGAGGCTGTGCCAGGCAGAACACCTGAGGTCAAGAGTTTGAGACCAGCCTGGCCAACATGGCAAAATCCCATCTCTACTAAAAATACAAACATTAGCTGGGTGTGGTGGTGCATGGCTGTAATCCCAGCTACTCAGGGGGTTGAGGCAGGAGAATTGTTTGAACCCAGGAAGCAGAGGTTGCAGTAACCGGAGATCGTACCACTGCATTCCAGCCTGGGCGACAGAGCAAGGCTCTGTCAAAAAAACCCAAAAAAAACAAAAAAATAAACACACACACACACACACACACACACAAAACTCCATCTGGGGTGTGGTGATGCATGCCTGTGGTGCCAGCTACTCCAGAGGCTGAGGTGGGAGGATGACTTGAACCCAGGAGGTCGAGGCTGCAATGAGGCACGATCACGTCACCATACTCCAGCCTGGATGACAAAGCGAGACCTTGTCTTAAAACAACTGAAAAAACACTTCCATTTGTATAGTAGCCAGACCAGAAGAGCATACATTTAATTTGCAATACTAATTAGAGTTTTCTAAGATGAATAGTTAAGACTTCCTGAAAGCATAGGCTTGGGAGTTTCTGAAGATCTTAACAAAACCAGTCACATTTGTGTGATTCTTGAAGTTCAGATAAAACTGTTCCCAATGCCCAGTGGGCTGTCAAATCGCTCCAGGGAAAGGGAACAAATATTGTTGGAAGGGCCACGTGGAACAAGTCTTGTTGGTTCTACAGATACAAAGTTACTAAGGCCTTGACCTGTCCCTGATTCTCAAACATAGTGGGAAGGACTAAAATAACACACAGGACCCGAGGGAAGCCCAGAGCAGAGCCCTGAGCCCAGCCCAGCCTTGGAAAACAGGGTCAGGCAGGGCTTTTCATGGTGGGCACCCTGACTGGGTTTTAGAAGGCAAGTAGGAATTAATGAATTCAGCTATCGTGTAGCGGGATAAAAGGAAAATAGAAATTGAAATGAGAAGGCCTATGTTTAAGACTTGATAATTGTTATGGACTGAACGTTTGTGTCCCTCCCTCATCACTCATATGTTGAAGCCCTAATCCCCAATGTGATGAGACCTTGGGAGGTAATGAGAGTTACATTAGGTCTTGAGGTTGAGTCCTGCATGAAGGGATTTGTGGCTTTATAAGGAGAGGGAGCACCCACTGAGGAAGGGTCATGTGAGGATGCAGCGAGAAGGTAGCCATCTGCAAGCCTGGGAGAGAGCCCTCCCCAGCACCCAACCCTGCTGACAGCCAGATCTCAAACTTCCAGCCCCCAGAACTGTGAGAAAACAAATGTGTGTTGCATAAGCCACCCAGGCCATGGTATTTTGTTATGGTTGCCTAAACAGACTAATATAATTTTTCTCCCTTATTACCTGTGTAACCTTCTTAGAGAAAATAACTTTGCGTTTCTAAAACTGTTTCCATTTTATAAAATGGTGATGCGAATACCTAATTTGCAGCATTGTTTACAAGTTAAATGAGATAGTATTTCCATTCCAGCCAGAGGAAACTGTGTATCCATGATGTAGGGATGAGAGAGACTGAAGAACTGAAATCTCACCATTCTAAAACAGACCTATTTGCACTTTGATCATTTCTTAAATACAAATATTTCTCCCAATGACTGCATACATTTAATGTGGTAGTGTTTTCATTCTTCTAGAAATCCATTATTAAACATGATTGCCTCTTCA